TTCGTCTCCACACATCGCACACACTGCTCCCAGCACCACCTCAGTCCAGCGTCATCACCAGACATAGCCTTCGACCGATGCACACTCACTGCATGGGTTTGTGCTGGACCGGACACTTTGGATCTGAGAACCCCATAGCGAGGGTTTGGCGAAGGGCAGATGCATTTCTGGAAAAGAAGTGAATGAATCCAGAGTTATAATGACCTCTTGGCTGCGGATTTGTCGTAGTATTGTCGAACCATGACTGTCAGTCGTTATTTGTTGTGTGTGCAGCTGATCGAATCGTCCACCTTACACTCAGACTTGAGGTGGCGGGTTTAAGATTACTGGGAAAGGACTGGGCGCTCTTTGAAGACTGGTTTGCCAGCATTGACCCAAAGTTTCCATTAGGACCTGGCCATGTGGCCATCCTCTGTCTGTTTTAAGGCACACAAGCTGGGCCGGAGCCAGTAGGCGGAGGTAAGATGGACAACCAGCCATTGCCCGCATCTGCCCCAACTAAGACTTTATTCCAACCCCTCACCAAAAAAAACCCTCTCTTTTCAAATGGGCAGCCATTTCTTCTTCTTTGTCACTCTGAGGCTGCTTTTACCAATATTTTCTCACCGAAAGTGGAAAAGGATGAATATCACAAAATCTGCCAAGAACACGTCCGGGTCATATTTAATCTCAAAATCATAAGAGAGAAATGAGAAATTATTGATGTCTAATATTTGGTCCTATAGCACGAAAAAACTAATAAATTATTCTGAACACTGAATAAAAAGTAATTTTGTAGGTAAATGTGCTAAATGCTGTCATGAAAGTTAGAAATAAATAATTATTAGCGATTTTATTATTAATTTGTTTGACTGAAAAAATTAATTTTGGAGTTAAATGTGCTAAATTGTCATGGCAATTCATAAAAATATAACAATTCACAATAAAACAGAATTTGGGGAATAAAATTCTAAATTGTTATAAAAGTAAGAATTAATAATCATTAACAATTTTATTATGAACCGAATTAAAATAATTAATTTTAAAAAGAATTGTGGACAGAAATGTGCTAAACTGTCATGACATAATAAAAATTGAATACATCATTCATAATAAAATAAAAATTCTGGTTGTAAAAATACTAAATTGTCATGAAAATAAGAATGAATAATTAGTAACAATTTTATAATTAATTTAATGAAAATAATTCATATTAAAAATAATTTTTGAGGTAAATGTGGTAAATTGTCCAGACATAAACATTTAATAGATAATTCATAATAAACTAAATTCTGGGAGTAAAAATGCTTAATTGTCATGGAAATGGGAATTAATAATTATTAACAATTACCAAATTAACGCAACTATAAAACCTTAATAAAAATATTTTCTTATTTTTTTTATTTGTGGGATGCATTGTGACCTGGAAATGTATTTACTTAGATTCGCCCTCAAAAACTCACAACACACTTTTTTCTATTTATTAGTGTAAATTTTTCAGCTCGGTTGGAACATTGTGGCAGTTTGTTCATCAACAAATGTGAATACGAATATAGCGCAGTCTCAAAGCCAGTGTGAAGAAATACCGCCTCCGTCAACACAAGACCAAAGCCTGCAGAGAACAAAAAAGAGAGAGTAAAAAAAACAACAACCTTAAATATCAGTATTAATAATTTGTGATGCCAGTCATGTGAGTCTTGCCTTATTTCATTTCCATGCTAGCTAACCGTGCTGATGTGAATTACGATATGTAAAATAAAAAGTACATATATATAACGTATTAATGTTATACAATTGAAAAGAAATAAGAGGTGTTTACATTCATGTGGTCATGTGGGAGATAACTGTGATGCGTTCAATTGCAAAGCAATGATTTCATATAAAAACGAAACAAAATGTTCAGAAAAGATTATATTCCTCGTTTGCTTTCTTAGGTGTGTACAGTTTTCATATTTCTTAACCAGTACTTAATTATGTCGTGAGACACTAAATCAGAGAGGAATCTCACTTAATACTGAGTTTCGAAATGTTTTTTTTTTAAAATTGTGCTGGCTTATTTCTGTGGACATCTGTTTTTACGTTCTACGTTTGAATTGTACGTCACTGGTTAAGCTTAATTTATTGTTTTGGTTTCATCCATGTGTTCCTGCACAGTGGGGTGGGGTCATGACTAAATGTATTTGTTTACTGTAGCACGTTTTTAAAAATGTAGATACGAGATGCAGTTACGGAGCTAAATGGTGATCGAGTGATTCACATTAAATAACCATCAGTCCTGCCACTGTAAAATATTAAGAGCTGTACTGAAGTGATCCGGTGTGACTGACTGGTGCATCTTTTCTATCGTGAGATTTCACTGAATGTTTTCATGATAGCGTCTGTGTTCTATACCAAAGGCAGCGTCTGTCCTTCACTTGTACTTACCTGTTTGCTTCACAATGAACGGATGAGAGCTTTGATAATTGGGGACTGCCGTTGATTTTCCTGAACACTTCATTTGACTGTATTTTATAAAATTAGTGTTCACGTCAACACGAAATCAAAATTGATCCAATTTGCTTCCATATCTATCAGCTGGTGTCACCTAGGGCAGAAAATAGCCAATATTATTCAATTACAAAGAAAAGAAAAACAAAGCAAACAAAACAAAACAAAAGCAGAGGAAATGAAAGCAAAACAAAACAAAACAAAAGCAGAGGAAAAGAAAACAAAAAGCAAAGCAATACAAAACAAAATAAAAGGGTAGCGAAACAAAACAAAAGCAGAGGAAAGGAAAACAAAAAGCAAAGCAATACAAAACAAAATAAAAGGGTAGCGAAACAAAACAAAAGCAGAGGAAAGGAAAACAAAAAGCAAAGCAATACAAAACAAAATAAAAGGGTAGCGAAACAAAACAAAAGCAGAGGCACAGAAAGAAAAACAAAACAAAAACAAATCAAAGCAAACAAAACAAAAGCAGAGGCACAGAAAGGAAAACGAAACAAAAGCAAAGAGAAGCAAAAAACTAAATGAAAGCAGAAAAAGTGAAAGCAAAACAAAAAACAAAACAAGCTAATGGAAGGAAAAATAAATAAAACTGAGGAAAGGAAAACAGAAAACAAAAAGCCAAACAAAACAAAAGCAGAGAAAGGGAAAGCAGAACAAAGAAAAACAAAACAAAAGCAAGGCGAAGGAATACAAAACCAAGCCAAACAAAAGCAGTAAATTAATCACAATTAATATTAATATTATAAACTGTACTGTAATAAATTGCAAATGATGATAATAATAGTTTTTTTTTTTAAAGAAACCTTAACATTAGCAGACATAAAGATGCTCTTCTGATGACAAACTTGGCCTTCAGCCTTCATTTTCCTATGAAAAATCTCCTCAAAAGTATGTGCTTGTTTCAGAAGAGGAGTAATTTCCCAAAATCCACTGCAAACTCACATTCAGCTCTATTTTGACATGTAACGGCCACTATTCATTACCAAAAAGTATTGCCACAATTTTTTCTGATGAAGTTACCTGCTTTATGTGGAAATATGTCAAAATACGGAAGTAAATTGGGTCGCAAATGTCATTTCGTGTTGACTGTAAAAGGTCAAAAAGTATCGTCCACGCAGTAAAAAATGTTAAGGTGACTGTCGTATCACACCTGAAATGAAATGTGTTGATTTAAAAAGCAGTGAAAATGGCCACCATGGTGACTTATCCCAATCATCAGACGATTTTTTTTAACAAACATGATGTTACACACCTTATCAATGTAAATGATTTACATTGACAAAAATGTTGTAGAAAGTATTTTGTACGAGCACAACTGCTTTAATCAACATTTGCTGCATGGCATCTACGCCCCCATTTGTACATAAGGCCACTTCTTTATCGATTCTTGGGAAATTGGTTTGTATTTGCTTCGTTTTGTGACTCTACTGTGTTGTGTGTTGATCAGACCGACAATCTTAAGAAATCCAGTGCCCCTCATTCCCATTTTGTTGTGTGCTTACCCTCCTGAATGTTTGGATTGGGATTCTCTTGTTTGTGCGCTGGAAGCCGCAGTCAGACCCGCATCTCTGATGTCACCTCTTGCCATAAAGAGTTTCCATACAAGCTCTTGGAATCTTTCCATCATATTTTAATAAATGACTATTATGCCAAAAGTTGTTGTTTTATTTCTATTTCTGGCATCGATGATCATTGAACAAGTTTCACCCTACTAATCATACAAACATGAACACTTGATACAAATTCAAGAATAGGAAAATGGCTTCAGATTTCAAGAACTCGTGCCTGATCCTGTTACACTCGCAAATATAGTGTGAAGGCAAACTAAAAAGTATTAAACTGCCTATTATTTACAGCAAAGATTAATTGTAGCTTATTCAAGATGAAACCTGTACAAAATAGAGTAAATCTTCAATAAGACATTCAAAGTAGTAAGACTGTTTGTCACAAATGAACATTATTGTAGTTTACGCCAAGATAAATTACAAAATATATAGAAACATTAACGGGATAGTTCACCTAAAAATGACAATTCTGTCATCATTTACTCACCTTCAAGTTGAAACCAAAAAGATATTTTGAAGAGTGTTGGTAATCAAACAAGCATTTTTGTCCATACTACGGAAGTCAATGGCTACCGTCAACTGTTTGGTTACCAACATTCTTCAAATGATCTTATTTTGTGTTCAACAGAAGAAAGAAACTCAAACAGGCTAATGGAAGCAAAACAAAAGCAGAGGAAAGGAAAACAAAAAGCAAAGCAAAAGCAAATTGAAGCAAAACAAAATAAAATGCAAAATAAAAAGCAAATTGGAGCGAAACAAAAAGTAGAACAAATCAAAACAATACAAAACAAAATAAAAAAGAAGCAAAACAAAAGCAGAGGAACAGAAAGGAAAACAAAACAAAGACAAACCAAAGCAAACAAAAAAAAAGCAAAGCAAAGAGAAGCAGAACTAAATAAAAGCAGAAAAAGTTGAATAAATGCTGACAGAATTTTAATTTTTGGGTGAACTATCCCTTTAAGGATATCATTTACACACTATCTGCACTTTACCAAACCACAAGACGTGAAGAATTGTTTCAATGAAGACACATGTCGCTGTTCTGCTGAGGAGGTGAATATTGGGATGTCAGTTCGGCCTCCATGGGTACGTTCAGACTGCATTCGTTTGGAAGTCTGTCTTTAGGTTTTCTCAGGTTCTCCTGAAAGATTGAGAAATAAGAAAAAATAAGAATTAATACAGAGAAAATAACACATTCTAGCATACTTTTCACACCCAAAAATTGCAATTTAGCATACTTTTATGTTATACTTTTCACAAAAATAATATTCTAAATGCAAAGAAAATGATGTTTTGGACACTTAAGTGCATGTTAATTGCAATTTATTGAGTTTCAATTCATATTAAATGCAGCTGTTTGAACTTAAAAGTGCTCTTTTGCATATCAGAACAGATCTTTGACCTGTAAACAATTCCTAAATGTGGCCAAGCGTATACTAACATTTCATAGAATATCAACATTATGATTTCCACAGTGATATATAGATATTTGTAAACCAAAACTTCATTATTCTCAATCACACAAGCCACAAAACCGTATTTTCAAATGATAGCAAAATTGATTGAGCTGCACACCAAATTCTTCACAGGCACGGATCTGAGCTGTTTTAAATCTAAAATAGAAAGCATATACTCTGGCAAGAGCCCTAAACCAACACAACCGCACGATTTACTGAAGCCCTTCATTTTGAGAGCCGTCCTGCTGAGCGACTGTGAGAACAGACTGCAGCAGTGACAGATTCATTCAGACCGCTCGAATCCATCAATACGGTAGTCAGTCAAAAACAACAAGAGATTACGATTGGATTATTTCACCACAACCATGAGGAAATATAACCTAGAAGTAAAATGCAAATGGAATGAATTCACAGTTACTTAAAGGGACCTTAAAGGGGTGGTTGATTGCGATTTCACTTTTTTAACGTTATTTAGTGTGTAATGTTGCTGTTTGAGCATAAACAATATCTGCAAGCTGAAAGTTCAATGCAAACGGAGATATCATCTTTTAAAATTCTGGCAGTTTAATGCCTTACAATACAACCATAGCACATGCCGCTGAGGTGAGGTGTGTGTGTGATTTTTTTTTTCCTTTTTGGGTGTATTATACTTTTAGGATTAACGTATTAAAAACGTTTTCGTTAATTGAAATAAAGCTAAATAAAACAAAATATAAATATTAGATGAAAAACTTAAGCTAAACAATAATTAGAAATGTTGCCTTGGCAACATTAAAACACTAAAATTATAAAGAAATGACTAAAAATGCTAAATAAAATAAATTAACCCTAATCTGTAAAATAAGCACATAACAAAATAACTAAAAATTTTAATAATTAAAATAAAAAATGAAAAATGAAAACAAAAGTAAAAGCTAATTCAAAATATGAATACAAACTTATATATATATATATATATATATATATATATACTAAATATATAAATAATACTAAAATGATGCTGATAAAGTATGTGAATGACAGTAAATTACAACTTAAGTTTCGGTCTATATCATATGATTTCATACAGATTTAAAATATTGTGCATGAGACATGGACCACTGTCATAGTGCTTTATTATATACACACACACACACTTTTAAGATTTTTTAAAGAATTTTAAATTTCATTATCCATTTAAGTGTGTCACCTACAAACAATAATTATAATATTCATTAACATATCATTAATTATGCATCCCAGCTAACAACTCCATGTACATATTATTCAATAAAATCAGCCCTGCGTCTTCTACACAAACACTAACCGTCTATAAATAATCAGCGCACATCAATAGACATCAGGCCACGGTTATTTGTAGCGAGAAACTTTTAGCTCAGCTTAAAATACTGCTCGGAGGCCTTGACCCAAACTTCCCAACTTCTGAAATGGATGAATTAACAGATGCATATTAAATAGGAGCAGTTGGATTGTTATGCTAAACCTCACCTCAACATGCAAAACAAAAGTGGTGCGTTTGAAACGGATCACAGCGAAGGTCACCGTCCTTTCATTTAAATGCATGTATTATACATAAGTTTATATATAAAAAAGAAGGACCACAAAAGCACTAATGTGTATTTTTTTATCCTTATTAGTCGTGAGGAGAAAGAAAGATAAAAAACTCTTTAAGCACCTGGACCTCGCTCTCAGCATTCCATTAATTACCCAGACAATGGCAACAACTTCAGAGGCAGATTTTTCAATTTCAGAAAGAAAAAGAGGCAGACAGACAGAGAGAGAGAGAGAGGAGAGAAGAGAGGGGGAACGAGACAGATGGAGGGAGATGGAGAGAGAGAGAGAAATGCATGTATTCAGGCTCTTCATGCTATACCAGCACTTAAATCTGACGGACCTCCCATAAAAAAGACTCAAGGTTATGTCCGATTGAAAATCCTCACAAACAACCACTTCACAAATCCATTTAGAGCCAGTGCTGGAACATCTCATTCAAACATGTTGTCCTGTTAAAATGGTCGCGTGTAGCTCCTCTAAAACTCTTTCTCCGCCGCTGCCGTTTGCCGGGCCTCTTTGTAAAAGCGATTAAATTTCCACATTCTGAAGCACAAAGACATAATTACACAGGATCAGAAATGCAGCCCAAACAGAAGGTCAGACATGAAAAATGACCTCTTATTGTCACAAATGATAGGCCGTTTTGCCAAGAGTAATTTGTAACAATACCTCGGCTCGCAGTTCGTTGGAACGGCCAATGGAACACGGCCCAGATATAAAAAAAAATAAATAGTGTTTTGTGAGTAATGAGAGTTCAATGGAGTGTATAGGGACTAAAAAGCTCAAATGATGAAAAATAGGAAGCTCACTTATTTCTTTATTAGTTTTAATTCTGTTACAATTTACTTACCCTCATGTCAGTCTACATGTAAACCCGTTTGACTTGCTTTCTTCGGTGAAACACAAAAGGAGATGTTTTGAAGAATGTCACTGATGCTCTATTTCAGTTAAGAAAAATATGGTTTCGAAACACTTAAGAAACGTCAAACCTGGCATCAAGTTTTAATTTGCACCAGGGTTATTATTAAGTCAAGTATTAAAACATTTTCATCCCGAGTTCGAATCCCAACTCGAGAACCTTTCCCGATGCCATCCCCCTTTCTCTCTCCCACTTCGCTTGCTGTCAGCTCTGATCTGTCCTATCATAATGTATAGGCAAAAACACCTCAAATAAATCTTAAAAAAAAAAAAAACATTTTCGTTAATTGAAATAAAGCTGAAATAAAACAAAATATAATATTAGATCAAATAAATGTAAGCTAAACAATAATTAGAAATGTTGGCAACACTAAAACACTAAAATTATAAATAAATGAATAAATAAAATAAATTAACACGAATCGGTTAAATAAACACATAACAACATTACTAAAAATTAAGCGAATTAAAATAAAAAATAAAAGCTAATTCAAAATATTAATAAAAACATATATACAGTAATTATATACTAAATATATAAATAATACTAAAATTATGGCGAACGACAGTAAATAACAAATTAAGTTTTGGTCTATTTCCTGTCATGATTTCATATGTATTTAAAATATTGTGCATGAGACATATGGGATTTTTTTGAGTTTGTCTCCATTTACTTTTGTCATTTATTTATTTATTTGTCCTTTTATAAGATTTACATCCCCTGCTGTATTTTATTGTATGAAAAGAGCAGCGTGAACATTCTGCTAAACATCTGCTTTTGTGTTTTTACGCAAAAATGAAAGTCATACAGATTTGAAAAGTATCTGGGCTTTGAACTGAAATAAGATTTTTAGATTTAAGTTACTTTATTACAACCCAGTTACTTATTTAAAACATACTGTACTGTCATTTAGCCATAAGTAAATATGGTTAAATATTTGAGGCTAGTAAGTACGAACAGAACCCCATAGTTACATACCTCTCTAAGCAGACTTTCACCAAAACACCTTTACAAAGATAACTACCATTCTTTTAAATTATTGCAGTATTACTGCAAAATCTGCAACCTATAATAATTTTATAAGTAGTGCAGTTAAGCGCTACTGGTTGGAACGAAGGCCAGACTAAGAGTGAAGCTTCGTTAATGAGATCCGAGTTGCCTAAAACACTTAACGACGTGCCAATGGATCCAAGAACAATACTTTGTAAATGGCATGCTAACAAACGTGCGGTTATACTGCAACCAGATATCTGGCCGCTGTATCACGAACTAACCCAAATTCTCAGAAGTTCAAATATCTGCTTATTTTATAAAAACTAATACCATTATTAAATAAAACAATAAATCAAGGCTAAAATGTAGCGTGTTCTTTGTGAACTGTATTTGGGATTGGTGGTTTTTGTGGATACTGTTGTTGGCGAAGACACACTAAATATATTCTGTATCAAAAGTCTTCCTGGATTCACCCCTTTTAATATAAGAGGTGTATCCAAGGTCACTTCCTGATTGTGAATCCTCCAATGAGGTGCAAGATTCAATGCTCAAGTGTTTCTTTGTCATCTGACAATAAGAAGTGTCAGAATTTTCAATACATGTGCTTGGAAATGTCACCCAAGGTCATATGAGCGTGACAGGAGTTCGAGCAGTCAAACATAACGAAATCAAACATGCTCTTTGTAGACACGGCTACATCTACAAAACCATGTGTATGCTGCATAACATACATTTACCGCTACACAAAGAGCATAAAATCATTCATAACAGCCTGGAAAAAGCTGAACTTTGCTGAACCTTGAATTGTGACCCACTAATGGAGCGCACAGGAAACAGCAGAAGATTGGGAAGGTTCACGCCGCGGCACAAGCAAATCAAACACAATAAGGCAACCGCTGCTAAGCACATGCACACACATCAAAACTACAGCTCTGGAATAGGAAATTAACGCAATTTTTGTTTTTTGCATAATTAGCACTGCTTACAAACACAGGATTCCGTTGAGCCGTCACAACACTTGATGTTGCTAAACAATGAAGGTTTTTCTTCACAATATGAAGCAGGTCAGTGATTTTCAGGGCAGAATTGGCTGCAATGCAAATGCCTTGTGGTCTGTAAAAATAATGAAATGTCAATTTATATATGAATGTCAATGTAAAAAATTAGCAAAATTAACCAAATAAATAAATAAATAAATACATTTCAATTTTTAACAGT